AAAGGGTATTATGGCCTGGAGTTCCCGGGGTCTATCCGACCCCAGCTGCCATAGGTGTCCTGGATAGTGAAGTCCTGCTAAGCACAACCTGTCCAGGTCCCTCAGGCAAGCTCCCAGCTGCAGGCAACCTTAGCAAGCAGCTCAGCTCTTGAGTGAGATCAGCTCTTTGGTGAATTCAACTCTTCGGTGATTTCAGCTCTTTGCTTGCTAAGTGTCTCAGCAGACACAGGGGGAGAGAGGAGAAGGCTGTGTGAGGTTCCACAGAGGTGTGGATCTTTATTGGCAGCTCCTGTGAAGGGTTTCAGTGACAGCTCTTCTGCCAAACTAGGCAGAAATGGGGGTTTATATAGAGTACAGGGGTTTTGGGAAATGGTCCAATAGTAAGGGTTGAGGTGAATATGACCTATGGTCTTACAGAGAGATAACGAGGATCCAAATGCAGAAGAGGGGCTTCTTTGGTCCAGTCATCATGATTAGGCATTTCTTTATTTTACTGAACCACAGAACCACAGAATAATGAGGTTGGAAGAGCCCTTTAAGATCATCAAGTCCAACCTATGCCCTAACACCTCAAATAATCTATAGCACCGAGTGCCATGTCCAGTCTTTTTTTAAACACATCCAGAAATGGTGACTCTTCCACCTCTCTGGGAAGACAATTCCAGTGCTTTATTATTCTTTCAGTGAACATTTTTTTGCTAATGTCCAATCTATACTTTCCCTGACATAGCTTGAGACTGTGTCCTCTTGTTCTGTCAGTCATTTGTTTAGGCAAGTGACTGCCAGAGAAGCCTTGGAGGCCCTGTGGCTGCTACAAAAGGCAACTGGGGAGAAACAACGAAAGGGAGTAGATGGGAAGTGGTATAAAACAGACTGGTTTGCTGGTCACTACACTTGTCTGAACACACCCTGTGCCTGATCAGTGAAGTTGTTCCTATCTTCTTTATTTAATCTTTCATTAAATACAGTGAGTGGTGGTCTTTGCCACCGTGACAAGAACAGTGAGCATCCTGAAAAACAGAAACTGTGAGGGAGATCAAAGCAGGTGAGGGACTCAGCCCCAGCAGATGGACTGAGGCCTCAAGTCACAAGCACACGTGCGTGGCACCATTTGCCATGAGGCAGAAGAGGCTCTGTATCCTCTGCCAACCCATTGTGTGCAGGTGTGGGGTGCATTTCGCTGGCACACCTCAAGTTGTACCAATCAGCAAGAAGAAGGTGCTGGGTTGGAGCAGAGGTAGCAAGTAGGCAGAGGAGCAGTGCTGGCACCTTGAGGGGACCTGTGATGGTATGGGACCTGTGAGATGAGCTTGTGAGCTCTGGATCTGTTAACTGTACAAAATGGAGGCTTGTGAAGCATGCAAAAGGATTCAGCATCCAGATGGGAGTGGTGGATAGACAGAGAGGTGAGCCATGCCAGTACAAGCTGATTGTGTGCAGCAAGGCAGAGATGCTACAAAGACCTCTAATGCGTTACGTTTTACCACATACAGAACAGACATAAACACCTCCAGTTGTACAGCACACTTACCCTGCATTAAAAAAAAAAATCAGAACTAAGAACTGCATTAAGAAATGCAGTTGCCAAATTGCAAACATGAAGAACTTTTAAAACAAATTTGAGTTTTAATGAAATTCAGGCGCAAGAAATTCCATGTAAAGCTTGAACACATAAGTAGAGAAAGCAGACTAGACTAAACAGATAAATCCAATAAAGCACTGGGTATTTGAAGAATATTCAGCTTCTTTTTAGCAGCTGCCACAGAAATTTTAGAAGGTTTTTTTTTTTTTTCGATTTTCAGGTTGTAAACCAATCTCTGTACTGTACTTCATCATTGACATCCTAGTTCCTGGGCAATTTACTGTATATTTATTCACAGTGGTACACCTAAACACTTCATGGATTATCAGTTTCCATTCCTGCTGACTAGGTGATGAACTGTTGAGACAGTATGTGGCAGCTCTTCTTCAAACTTCTGTACTTGTTTTCTTTTCTTTATAGCTATTCAGTTCTTGAGCTCAAAAACAAAGCTATTTTCAGAACTCTGGAACACAACTGACTTTCCTCAAATATGAGTCTTACCATGGAAAACAACTCCAACATTACAGCTTTACCTCCCAAGCAGACAATGGACAAGTATACCCACAACAATAAATAAATAAATAAACAATGCAGTGAATTCTGCTGGGCATAGTACTTTTAGTGTGTGCAAGCTTCCACACATCCAGAGAATTTAGGCATCAAGCTTGAAAAAGCTTGAACAAATTTGAAGAGGCTCCTCTTCTGCCAGTCCATGATCCTTTTGCAAAATATGAATGCATCCTAGGCAATGTTTGGTGATTTCTATTGCAAAGGTTCAGTATTTTCTTGTCTGGTCCCAACATATTCTCTTCTAGAGAATAAGTTCCTTTGCCAAGTAATATTTTGATTAATACATTCTAGTTCCATAGGTAGCAGTGCAAGCTAACAGCACTGCAAAAAAACCAAGTAGCACTGTGTGGCATTTAAGAAGCTGGCACTCGTGTTGTAGGAAAAGCAGAGAAGCCCAAGTACGGGATTTCTATGTAGGATGAGGTTCCCAGCATGGCTGGTGTGTTTGCACAGCAGCAAAGTGCTTGTAAACATTAAGTCCCCAAGACAGAGAGAGGGCTGCTGTACTTGTGTTGCACATCTTTTTGCCTTCCATTCCAGGGCAGGAGACTGATACTCAAGGCTCTTGTTGCTTATAGCATCTCAGCCCCAGTACTTTTAATGGCTTTGTCCATTTAATCCACTTAGGTGTGAGTTTATATCCTTGAAGCTGTACTGGTATCAGAGAACAGCCTTGCCTGGTACCAAGCTCTGGGATGGGCTAAGTTGAGTTTATACTTATAACATTCCACTACATTAAAATCAGCACATGGAATGCATTTCCTGGAATGACCCAAAAAGCCAGGTGGAAAATCACAATAATATAATGTGTGACTGCATGCAGCTGCATATCTGCTGCAACGCAACTTGAAAAGACAGTGTCTTATTTTATTTTACTGCTAATCTGAACATAATCCAAATATCTGATTACTACCATTTCTTTAGAAAAGGCCACCTCCATACAAACGATGTCTCCCTAACCAACTTTCCAGCGGCAGGCAAGAGGCCATGAGGAGGAGCTCTGGTTCCAAATCCCCTCTAGCAGAGAGCTGAAAGCATGTCTTAGTCAACACCTTAATCTCAGAGCTACCTTAGAGCAAAAAAGATCTGATCCATCTTTTCTTGAGACTGCAGAAGCAGCTCCTCCACTGGGTGTCCACGTGTGGAAAGCTGGACCTCTGATCTCCTGCTGGTACTACCCAGTGCTACTGGGCTGGGGGAGCAGAGAGGACAATCAGCCTGAACTGGAAGAAACCACTAGTTTAGTTCCCAGATATCAACCAAGTCCATGAGACCCTCAAAAACATCTTTATTTGATTACTTTGCAGAAAGAGTCCCAGGATGCAGCCTCTGTAGGCACGCTATCCATCACAATTTAAGTACACTTCTGTTCCTCTGACAGTCAGGCACTTAGAAACAGGCTACAAAATGAATTACATCACCAGAACTGAATTATCCACAATGCTACTTCAGGTCTCTGTTATTTCAGAGCATTTTATAACCACTCTTTCCTCAGGCCAACCTAAGAAAAACATTGATGGCTGTTTCACTCAAGCCAGTTTCCCCCACAGAGATGAAGTTCAGGAGCCACCATGGAGGAGAAAACAAAGAAAAGGCAGCCTGGGGCAGTTTTACAGCAGCCTTGTAATGGAGAAAAGAAATTAAAACTATGCTTCAACCACTTTCTCCTAGTGCTTGTAGTGCTTTTTGTGCCACAGGAATGAGATGAACTCCTAAGGTCCCCTCCAAACCAAACCAAACCAAACCAACCCAGAGAGATTCTGTGATCCTTTGTGCCCAGTTTGTCACGCCTGAAGTGCATTTTTGTAAGTAACATACACTTCATACAATCTGCTCCCTTCAGGGGACATTCAGGTCCAGCAAAATAAGCTCCAGCCCCAACAGGTCTATGACCAGTGAAAGAACAACCAGAGAGAGAGAGAGAGACAGGGGAGCCTGGCTGCTGTGAAAAGCCAAGGAAGCCAAGAATGCATTCAGGTACTCAAAGTCTTGCAGTATTGTGTGTAAGAAGAAATAGACAACGAGATGGTGCTGACACATTTAATTCCCCACAATGCTGCTGCTAACTGTGACACTTAGCCTCTCCTTTCCCTGTTTTCCTCAGTAAATGGAGGAAATGGAGCCTGTGCACAAGGTCAGCCCTTCTGGAAATGGATTGAAATTTGAGATCAAGAGATGAAAAGCCTGTTAGGAAAGCTGGAATTTTTGTTGTTCCTCCTCTGACATTCTGTAGAAGACTGTGAAAAAGAGCTACTTTTTACAGGCAATGGAAAAAGCAGTGAAGTATATGTAAAGGCATAGGAAAGGAAACCTGAAGGTTTGTTGTCTCGCTGGGGCAGATGATTACTATCTTTCCAAGTTACTAAGTTAAAAGTAACTCCACACAGTGGCTCTAAGTTCACCCATGGGTGAAACTTAGATCTTCCCAGGCAATGAAACCTTACTAAGAGATGAGGGTGAAATATTGCTCACAAATTAAGTGTGATCACAAGAGAATGTCCTGTACAAATACAGAAAATCCATCACCAGTTCCAAGCTTCTTTGCACTCAACGGTCAACAACACATCTACTTCACACAGACAGCAAAGGACTTAAAACAAATTGGAAAGTCTGAGCAATTAATTAACTCAGTAGAAAACTTGAAAGGATTTTCTATAATTAAGTCTTAATTGTGCAAATCACCTCTTGAAAACTTATTTTGGAAGACTCCAACATTATGATTTGTGGAGTTCACACAGATTTGTTTTTTTCTTAAATGTAACACAAATTTGCACTTACGAGACCTCTGGCCACTAGAGGTTCAGGGGGACCCACCTTAAATAGCACCAAACAGACAGCAGACATATTCTGTTCACAAGTGTTCACTGTTTTATTCTACTGTAGGTGTTGCTATGAACCTTTATATGTAATCTGGAGCCTTAACAAGCAAGAATTAAAAGCATTACCAGTAGAGACAAAATACCAACTGTTTTTCCCAGCTGTGCTCAGATGATAAAAAATATTCTGTACTAATAAACAAGTCAGTGGTGTGTAAATCTTTCCACAAGGCACTGAAGGTGAAAAATATGTACTTTAGTTGGGCTCAAACAGCTAAACAACAGCTATGTTATAGCGGCATAATAATCTCCCCAAAGCATTATGGGATAACATGAAATCATTCTTCTGCAAGAGAAGGATAAATAACACTTTCATTAAAATATCTTCTCCTGTATTGGGAAAGTCAAACCAGTTAATAGAGTTAATGATCCGGACTCAGGAAAAGGAGGCAGTTTAAGAACACCCCAAATAACAGGTGTCCCACTCATAGTCTTCTATTTCTTTTTTGCATCAGTTTTTTTTATTATTATTTTATTTTTTAAGGCAAGAGTCTTGCAGCTTGTATCCTCCTGCGTTTCAGTGAAGCATTATCTTATGCAGAGTCCAAGACAGTAGTGGAAGGAAGAGAGACTGGGACAGCTGGTGAGCACTGCTGGTGTCTGCACGAGTGTGTCCGGACCATCCACGGCCCCGGGGCTGAGGCTCGACCGTGATGTAGCCATTGATGATGCGGATCCGTGGAGGAGGGTCGGTAGCACTGCAAGGCAAGAGAAGAACATCAGTCCTGGCCCAGCCCACAGCTGCCCAGCAGCCACACAGCAGGAGCTGGTCAGCCTCCGTGACCCACTGCCAGCGTTCTGGGTCCATGCGAATCGTCTCTTGCCGACGCCCACCCTCGGTCAGGGGTGGCTCCGTGTGGTGGTAAAGTCTCTCCTCCAACCCGAGCTTCCAAAGAAAGGCTCAGCAGTCTCTGTTGTTCAATCTCAAGGCAGTTTATTGCAAGTTATCTAAAAGATTTTCTTCTGGACCTGCTGTGGTTTGCTCACAGCTCAGGCAGAGGCACACACACACCCTGACATCCTCTCTGACTCTGACTGCTTCTTCTCTCCCCACCCAGGGCTGCTGCTCTCTTTTATATGGTACATTATGTGTTACATGTTTACAGTTTTCCCCAATGCCTATTACCTATATTAAAAGGTGCTTTTCTATCTTTTATATGGTACATTACATGTTACATGTTTACAGTTTTTCCCCTATGCCTATTACCTATATTAAATGCTGCTTTGCTACTCTAAACCAATCTGTGAGTGCCAACATCACCAAGAACATGGAGGTAAGGAAGAAGAAAGAGGGAGGACAGGGCAGGCCCAAATCCCTCCATCTTAAAACCTCTAACTCCCATGTACAAAACCAAAACCCCCCTGTACAGGACTTAAAACCCCCCTGTATAACATTCAAAAATTTGTCCCTTTACTTTGTGACTACTTCTACTATAATATCTAAAATTTGTGACTTCTTGCTCTTCCTGCAAGGTTGTTAAATCATTCCATGGTTTAAATCCAAAATCACAGCTGTTTCCAGCTGCCTGCCAGGGTCTCAAATGCTTCTGACCAGGGCCTGGAACCTCCAAAAATGTCTGAGGGACATTTTGAGTTCCGACAGTCTCTCAAACAACTTACACATTGACCCAAAGTCTGTGGTCTCTTGTCCCTTCCTCACACCTGTGGACAGCTCCCACACCAGCCCACAAGGATGAGGTGCTACCCAGCCAAACTGTGATGCAGACTTGAGGGGGAACAGTGAAGAGACTGAGGAGGGTGATGAGAGCACCAAAATACTGGCCCTGTCTCAAGTCTGCCCAGCCTGCCCATTGCTCCCACACAGTCGGTCAGGTGGGTAAGATGACCATATCCCTAGGCCCTTTCACCTAAAATAGATAAGAACAAAACAACTGTTGTTGCAGAAGAGTGTCACTGCAGGAGCTCTTGCTGAGCCCAGCTGGAGTGAGATGCCTGTTTTCTGAGCACATTTTCCTCAGCCATGTTTCATGCACCTTAGTGCAGACCCACCTTGTTCCGATACCATATGATCTCTTCCACAGGTCAGGAATTCCAAAGATTTACATGATATACTCCAAGCAGAGGAAGAATGGCTTCCAGAAACACATCCTAGATCACCATATTCCAGAGTAACTCCCAGTGGTACTCTGAGAGTACTCTGACATCATGATGAACAAGGACAGAATTAGAGCATACATGAGCTGCACTCCCATGATGGCAATACATGATGGAGGAGAGAAATTTGTATGCTCCATGCTAACGTAAACTGACCTGAACTGGGGGAGATCACACACCACAGCAGGCCAAGAGTCAAAAGGGTCAGATACTACACAGGTTGTTGTACTCTTTGGCAATGAAGTGAAAGGAATACTTGACACCACAGCTGTGTGACTAACATACCCCCAACACCACCTGGTGCTGTGTAGAACCTGAAGACAAATCAGGACAAAACTAAAAGCAAGTTCACCTGGCAAATACAAAAAATGAGTAATTTCTTCTGCACCCAATCCCCAGACGCTGTGCACCATTCTTGTCTTATTTCAGTCCACTAAGCAAAAATGCTTTGGGAAATTAAAGGCAATTACTATTCTTTTTAAAAACACTTCACTCTTCCTTACCCAAGGGGCTCCCCAGAAGATCTGAACAATAGTCAGAGAGAGAAGCCAGCTGGCAGCACATCAAGGAAATACAGCCAGCAGCTGATGCACACAGGGGCACGAACCAAGGCCATTCTGACAAACCCACTACAACACTATTAAATCACTTGAGCTACACCTTTCACACTTTCATTCTCACAGGAGGAATAACAGAATTATGTAGGTTGGAAAAGACCTTTAAGGTCATCAAGCCCCTTTGTAAACCTGAAAGCTGTGAGTGGCCCAGCAGCTTTACCTGTGTATGCACACCCTGAGGGATGTTTAGAGTGAGGTAGAGCCCCCCGACAGCCTGGGCTTTGCAGCACTACAGGGACAGCAATCTCCCAGGCATCCTTTGTCTTTCCCAGCACTGCCATGCAGCTTCTCCATCTCCAGACATTTAAGCTCTTCTCTGATGCTAAGGAGTCGCCCCTACAAAGCATTTGTCGTCCAACACTGCAGTAAGTTCCTAGCACAAAGAATGACTTAAATAGAAGGAGAAGAAAGGAAACATAAAAAGAAGAAAAGAAAAGGAGCATTTTCTACTCCCATATTTATGCAGAAGTTTCCTAGGCTGCCATCGTTTGCTTTGGTTTTGCCTCACACTTTTTTACCTGGCAGTACTTAAAATCTAGTATGCAGCCCTAATGTGCCTTCAGTTTGGTCACAGTAGCACATCTTCCCACCCTTCCTCTTCTTCTGAAGGCTTGATAATGCAAGTGCATATGTGTCACTGCCCACTGACTTCCCTGAAGCTTTGCTTTGCTTTGTGGAAGAATCTGCATGTGAAACACTGAACATGGCACTGTGGAGGCATGGTGGGAGTTTGAGACAGACATTCCTTAGCATTTCAACTAAACAAACTATCAATAGAAACTCCAAAAATCCATTCACAATCAGCTAGTATCAATCACATTAATAGAAAGTAAATGGTGCACTAAGAGACAAAATTAAGTGCAATCAGTATGGGATTTCTCATGTTGGTGAATCCTTAACTGTGTGTAGGTCTGTCAGAGGATATGTCACATGAGCATTTGTCTCCCAAATACTTAATACTAAGGCTGAAGGAAGGAGCAAGGAAGGGAAATTGGTCTAAAAGATCTGACAGTGGCTGAATGCCTCAAAGAGAATGGGTGCTGCAGTCACTTGTGGCCAGTTGAGCCATGTATCATTCATAGTAGTGGTACAATTAGGATCCAGGGACATGATAGGAAAGGCATAGGAGAACCCTGCTGTACCCAGTAACCCAGGGAGCAGGAAGAAGTATTCTCCAGAGGGGGGACAAAACCAAATAATGTACAGGCTTTCATTGCAAGAGCTGCCAGACTTTTTTCTATTACCCCAACCTGTCTGGTTGTTTATGGTACCACAAAAATATAATGCCTTCAAGATGAGTATGGCAGAGATATAGACACACAAAGTACAAATGAAAGCAGATTTGGGCATGTGTGTTACCTGACAGGAGGAAAACATTAAGGTATACATTCAGTCACAGGCCCAAGTACAGGAAATGAGAGAAATTGGCTTTTTTTTTTTTTTTTTTTCCCTACATGTTGCTGTAGTTCTGGTAGGTAAGTAAGCTTTTCTGGATGAAAAGTAAGGGATATGTGTCAACGTCTGTCCCTCAACACAATAATTTTTTTTATATAAACTCTGCCATCCATTAAGCTGTCATACCTTTTCAGACTAAAATAATACAGAGACTGAAAATACTGCATGAATATTGCCCAAGTACAAGGAGAGCATATGCCAGGAATGGGAGTTTCCTCATATGCAGCAGCTTTTGGTTAAAGGTCCAAGGCTTTGATCTGTACTATCTACCACTGGACCCAGCCTTCCATGAAAGAGAGGACTGCCATATGCTCACAATCCCTCAAGCCCAAATGCAGAATGATCTAGACAAGACTTCCACTTGTTTTATGCCTAGTTTTCCACAAATCTAACTATGCAAAGAAAATAAATGAAAGCTTCCTTTTGCCACTAAAAGCACAAGAAACCTCGTGCAAATACTTCAGAAGAATCACAGCAGGGGAGAAGGTCAGATCCTGTCCACAGGATATATCTACCCTCACAGGACTTTGAAGGTCTGTATTAAACCATCCAAGTTAAAGTCCAGTTTGCATGACAAGCCATCCTCCCAGTCCTCATCCATTACCTTTCTTCAAGGCGAACCCAGAGGTCGTTAAATTGTCGCAGTTTTTGCTTCTTCTGCTGCTTTTTCTTCTTCTTTTTGTACTTCCTGTCCACTTTCATGAGCACATCAATGCTGTCGGGGAATAGCAGGTGAGGCAGGAACCCTTCCTCCTCCTCTTCCTCCTCTTGTGGGAGCTCACGGGACATGACATAGGGACTGTGTGGTGATGAAAAGGTTAACAAGGTTTTGGGAGATTTTCGGCTGGAAGAAAAAGAGAACACAGGTAACATTTAAAAGGGCTTTGAGGCAAAATCCTGTATCAAGATGCATACATATAAACTAGACGTTTCTCCCTGGATGCTCATTTCTCTGCCGTGTATTCCTGCACCCTCTTCCTTAAGTCAATATTGATTTTATCATCAAAATAGTGCTCTTTAGCAAAAAAATGTCTTTGGAAAAGAGGTTGTCTGTGTCAGAGGAAAGAATGCAGTTTGGATAAGGGTAGAGTAATTCTTGGTAATAAGCTTGCCTATCTAGAAAGAGACAAAAATGGAATCACTTCTAAGTCAGGGTCAAACCACACTTCTCTAGTCTGATGTGCTGCAGAACACAGACCAGATTATTCCTTTCAACATTCCTGCCCAGAGCAAACTAGCCCAGGGGACAAGGGGAAGGGGCAAACAAAACAACTAAAGCACACCAGCTGATGAAACCAGGTCTGGATCAGCACCTTTCACTGGTGGAGAAGGTAAGAAACAAGCTAGCCCACAGACTATGATCATGGCCACAGAAACACACCTTGAAAATTGTCACCTTTGAAGGGAAAGGCTTAGCATGCCATTAACAGTTACCTGGCTGCTGGACCCAGAGAAGGATGAGGTTCTCAATGATTCTATATCTCAGTGTTCAATGGCAAGTGTTCCAGCCAAGCTGCCCAAGTCAGGAAAGGCAAATGGGAGTATGAAGGCCCTAAGCACAATGTAGGAAAGAATCAGGTTCGAGACAATCTGAAGAGCCTGAATGTGCATAAATGCATGGGGTCTGATGAGATTCATCTGTGGGTCCTAAGGAAGCTAGCAGATAAGTTGCTAAGTCACTACTAATCATTTTTGAAAATTTGTGGCACTGAGGTAAAAGTCCCAACATCTGGAAAAAGGGAAATATAACCATCATTTTTAAAAATATGAAAGTAAAGTCTCACCTGAAAGATTCTCCTGAAAATTAAAACAAACATGGAAAACAAAGAGGTGATTGGTAACAGCCAACATGGCTTTACCAAGGGGAAACAATGCCTGTTAAATTAGATTATCTTCTCTGATGGGGCTGCAGCATTGATGGATGTGACACCACAACTGCCATTGTCTGCCTGGACTTAGGCAAAGCATTTGACACTGTTTCACACCATATCCTTGTCTGCAAACTAGATAGACATAGATTTGATGGATGGATTGCTTGGTGGGTAAAGAACTGGCTGGAAGGCCACACGCAAAAAATTGTCCAGATGCAGCACCTTGTCCACATGAAAACCAATACTGACTGGTCTCCCTCCGGGGTCAAGAGCTTTGTCAGTGGCATGTACAGTGGGATCAAGGGCACCCTCAGCAGGTTTGGCAGCAACACCAAGCTCTGTGGAGCAGATTGCACACTGTCAGGCAGCAATGCCATCTAGAGAGGCCTGGATAGGCTGAAGAGGCTGGTTCTGTCCAAACCCCATGGAGTTCAACAAGGGAAACTGCAGGGTCCTGTGCCTGGGTTGTGGCAATCCCAGACACAGCTACAGGCTGAGTGGAGACTGACAGCAGCCCTGAGGAGGACTCGGGGGTGATGGCTAATGAAAAATTTAACATGACCCAGCCATGAGCACTCCCACCCCAGAAAGGCAACGGGATCCTGGGCTGAACCCAGAGCAGCGTGGGCAGAAGGGGAGGGAGGGGATTCTGCCCCTCTGCTCTGCTCTGGTGAGAGCCCACCTGGAACCCTGCATCAGCCCTGGGGTCCCAGCAAAAGAAGGACACGGAACTATTGCAGCAAGTCCAGAAGAGGCTACAACACTGATAAGAGGACTGGAGCACCTCTCCTGTGATGACAGACTGAGGAAGAAAGACTAGGTCTGTTAATCCTGCAGTAGAGAAGCTGCATAGAAACCTCATGGCAACTTGCAAGGATCTGAAGGGAAGCTGGAGAGGGACTCTTTGTCAGGAATTGCAGTGACAGGAATAACAGACACAAACACAAACTGAAGAAGGAATGCATTTAGGCTAGGTATTGGGAGGAAATTCTTTACAGTGAGTGTGGTAAAATACCAGAAGAGGTTGCCCAGCGAAGTTGTGATGCCCCAACCCTGGCACTTTTCAAAGCCAGGTTGCATAAGACCTTGGGCAAGCTGGTCTAGTGGGAGGTGTCCCTGCCCATGACAGGGAGATTAGGATCTTTGAAATCCTCTCCATTCCCTTAACATTCTATGAGTCTATGATCAAGGAATCCTTTGGGCCTTCTAGTCTGCATCAACTGAAAGCAGATTAGTTTTGGCACCACCAAGTTCACTCTCATTTTCTTCTTGATGAAGGCAGATAGTACAAAGCAGTGGATTCACAGCCTTTACAAAACATCACATCAGAGGACAGGTCTGACACATAAGAGGCCAGAGCTCAGCACACCATTCTGGCATTGGCTTCTAGGGTTGATCAGCAAAAAAAACCCAAAAAAACTCTGTTCTGCCACTTGGATAAAGCACAGCAAGGAGCATGAAATTGTGGTCTTAGTGGGTTTTACAGACAAGTATGGAGGTCTACATGAAGGGGAGGAAACTGAGAAATTGCATCTCTCTCATAAGCAGAGTTGAGCTTTGCACACAAGTAATGAGTGAGTGGGAGTCAGGCCTTGGCCTTCCAGCTGCCCAGATCCTGGATTAGGCTGGTAGCATTATGGGGAATTTCAAAGGAGCTCCAATGAGATATGTCACTGAAACTATGTGCACATTCAAACTGTCCTACAAGACAAATCTTACAAGACAAACCCCAAGCTGAGCTCTCAGAAAAAGCTCTCGGGGCTATGACTATTCAGCTTCCTGTAAAGATGATAAATTATAACAAACAAAAAATGAAAAAAAACCCCAATCAGCTTCACTCTGATTAATGAAGATCTGTTTCTTTATTTTTAGAGCAAGCAACATCTCATCTATACTCTAAGGCAGACAGTCTGCAGTGTCCTAAAAACTCATGGCTTTGCTGGCCTACATTTCTCATTGTTTGGAACAATTTTCCCTCATTACATGTTTATGACCACAAAGTCAAACCACTCTGTGTATACACAGAACCTAGCAGGAATATCTGACTGATTTTTATGGCTACTTCATAAAGAGAAGAAATGCAACAGTCTTCTGTAACAAAAGTGCAGACTGGTTTGGCCTGAAATTCAGGAAAGCAACAGAAAACCGCATACCACCAAGCAGAAACCTGCCTTTAATCAATGAACCTTCCCCAGAGCTGTGTTCCTTTTTCACAGGAGGTGGTCTGGAAGGAAGCATTTCAGCATGGGTGCAGTCTTCAAGCTAGCCCATCAATGTATGCACACTTATTTGATAGCAAATAGAGAGTACTTCCTGGAGAAGGGGAAATGAAGTTGTAGACTAGAACATTGAGAGAGTAGATGGAAAACAAAGACAATTTGTCTTACTCACTGCAAGGAAAATTAGAGTGATCACATGTTGAAATTTATATGAGAGAATCTGCTGCAGAATGGATCCTGGTTATCAATGTCGTTCAAAATCATTGTGGAGTCACATATTGTCACACTTTATCACCTCTGAACTGTCATCACCCTTCAGCTCTCCTCCTCAGCTGCTTCACATCATCCACTCTTTAACTCCAACTTGCAGAGTGATGATATCTCATTATCTCTCTCCAGCAACCTGATTTAATCTGTTTCAAGATTGCCCATAATTCCCTTTTTTGCACCATTTTTTTTCACTGTTTTTGTTCCTTAACTAAGTCACAGAGTAGGCAGCACCCCACACCTGTAGATTAGAATGCCATGCTGCCTGCAGCCTTCCCTTCTGAACCCACAGCCACACCATGGTGGAGCTCAGCACTGCTTCAGGTAGCAGATGTCCTCCATCCTGCATGGTAAGACATTTATTCTGATAGATGTGGCCTCAGACACATCAGTGTACCAAACCTCCTTTACAACACTTCCTGCAGGAAATTCTTCTAGAGACCATTGGAAAAGGCACACAGATTCAAAAGCCCATCCTTCTTCCCCCCAAGGCCTATTTCCCATCACAGCAGCTAAAGGAGCTTAGGGTGTCAGCAAGCACCTTAATTTTGGCTGTGATTGTGTTGAATATTTTACAATATATAACTACATTCTAAAAGCAGGAACAACAGTTAAAGACCAAAGTGAGTCAGAAGGAGCTTGACTGAACTTGTGGTACTATTTGTAAACTATCCTTTGCAATATTGCCTGCTTGGGGCACCTCTTTTGCCTTCCCTGCCTGGGAGGCACCAGGGAGAAGGAACCTTTCTGTCTCCAGCTAGGAGAATCCACCCCATTTGCTCTGCAGATGGAAAGTACACCTCAGGCAGCCCTGCCTGCTACAGGAAAATGAGCATGATTACTCTGCATCCTTATTGGTTCCTACACTCAGATATCTACAACATTTCTCACAAGGAACTTTTTGTTTAGCCAGAGCACAGGAAGCAGCAGACTGTGCTTCTGCAGTGAAATGTCACGTTGGAGGGAAAGGAGATGACTGCAGACTACATCCTGCTTGTATTTTAGGACCTCTCAACTAATGTGTCTGACACCAGAGCAGTCATTTAAACTCTCTGTCTCAGTACAACCACTTGCCTTTTTATCCTGTCTAATCATGAGCAGTGAAATAGTCCACAGGTACTGACTGGACTGTGAGCAGCACTACACAGGACAATAGCTGTGTTTACAGTGGATCTATGACTGTGGACACAGTTCCACATTGACATGGTCAGTGCTGGGTTAATTGTCACAGGCTGCTCTGATATTTGCTCCTAGAACAAGCCCAGGATAGCAAACAAGTGAAATCTTCCTTCCAAGCCCTAGGACTCTGACACACTCTTGCCACAGGTCCTTTCCCACACCTTAAATGCTCTTTTCCTTTGAACCCACATTTTCCTTAAAATGTATTTAATATTTTTAAACATGTTTCTGAATCATCCAGAAATGCTGACAGCAAAGCACCATCATGTTTAATATCAAGACTCCAGGGAAGGTGTTCTGTCCAATAGCCCTAATAAGAGGTTTAAGATGCAACTGATACCAAACTCAGGGCCTTCAAAGGCACAAGAGGCTGCATAATGAACTCCCATGATGTGCTTATGGAACTGGGTGCCCAGCTACTCCAAGTAACCTTGATATCAACTTTCCAGATAGGTGAAAATCTTTATTCAGTTGTCTGCCCTTACAGTTACATCTCTACAGAGCAGTATCTTGTTTATTCTCAAGTACCTAGTAAGCTATCTTTCTTTAAGCTTTAAAAAGCTGCTGCAGCTGTTTTTAGGAATACCTAAGCTAAAAATTAAAAAACAACATGAAAATATCAGTGCAGGCTATTTTGGGTTTGGGTTTTTTTTTTTTTTTGGTTGGTTGGAATTTTTTTATCATCCTTGTAAACACTGATACACTGGATTTTCTAGCACAGCTTCAGTGTCACAGAATCATTAAGTTTTGCTCATAAGCACAGGTGCTTCTCTTTGTCACACCACGTGCCCTCTGGTAGAAACAGGGTTAGGGGCTGGCATTCATATAATCATGGGCTAAGTCTTGAATCAGTTTTTTTCAGGGCATGTAGTTTATGATGTATGTCCATGTCAAGAATCATTGCAGAAATATGACCTGCCAGAACTTCAATATCATGTTTTCAGACAACAGCAAAGGTGGTATAAAGAGAAGGATGAAGCAGAGTATGAGAACAACAGCTGTGATTATTGTGCACCACACCTGTAGAGCCCTTGACAAAGACCAAGACTCAACACTGCACCCCTGCACAAATCCTATCAAAAGTCAGTAGTTCTGTCTGAGTGTCCCATATCAGAAATGTGGGGGAGGAGGGACAGAGATGTAAACAGGGACACTATGCCCAGCACAGAAGATAAAAGAGAAACAGTACCATAATTGGGACCAGTTTCCAATTTTCTCATTTTGGGTTTTTAGGGGTGAAGAGTAAATATATCTGGCAGCTACATGTTTGGTAGGAGTCCGGAGAAGGGGAATGCAAAGATTACAGACTCTAAACTGGTAGGAAGAATTCCAGGAAGAGGTGAGTCAAAGCACAAGTAATTCTTGGTAGAGAGTGGAGGAGGAGATAATCTGGCATTCTGTAGTTACTGAAACCATGGAGGTCGATGAAAACATCCAGTGAGAGATAAAAAGAAACAGGAAGGGTATATCCCAAAGGTCAACTGCAGGATGAACCAGCACAACAAGTACCTTAGCTTAAAAATGCTGAAGAAAACGGGACATGAGAGCAATCAGTCATAAAGACTGCTTGCAAATACTCGCAATCAGATTCCAGGCTGGGAGAGAGTAGAGAAAGAATGAAAAATATCAGTATAAAAGAAGGGGATAGCTAAAAGGCAGGGCAATCAAACATATAAAGGAGAGGAAAGAGAAACCTGGGAGCCTGTATGGTACAAGACAGCATCCAGATCTAATGAACCAAGCATGCATACTCTGCAGCTGTTAATTTAAGAGTTAAAAACTTACAAGGGTGGAAAAAAATTTCCACATTAACAACAACAACAAAAAAAAAAAATACAAAAGCCCCAACAAACAAACAAACAAAAACCCAAAAAACCCCCATTGCAAACCCAACAACAATTAATCAATAAACCAAAGAGCCCCAACCCCAACAACAAAACCCAGAAAACAAACAAAACAACAACAACAAAAAAATCCCAAAACAAAACTAAATAAAATCCCCTTTCCACACTAGCTCAGGGAAGAGAAAAGCAAACTGCTGGGAAGGAGAGAAAACGCCTAGCTTCCTCTTAGTTATAATTCCAGCTACCATTCCTACTTCATATTGTTTACAAACCCAGCACCCCAATGGCTGCTCAGCTAGGTAAAATATGCATTACTTGTTGATGGCTTGTCCAGCTGGAGTGTGCTCTACCTCGTACCCTTCTCTCCTCAAAACATCAATCACTGTGTTGTTGCCCATGAAGTGACCTGCAGTCAAAAGAAAAATGACATGAGAACTCACCAACCACATGGAAAGAGGAGGAAGAACAACAAAGTCTTCCTCATCACAGGAGATCTGCCACACTCAAGGCAGGCAGGGCTTTATCACTCCCCGTCAACATGCAGCAGAAACACAAGTTCTCTAACGAATGATTGCTGAACTTTCCCAAGGTCACTCCAATTACTACACTCTGCCTTTCTAAAATGCAGATGTGATTGCAATTATTCTGGTCCCACAGGCTGTTGCATAATGGGCTGCCCAGGGAGGTGGTGGAGTCACCAACCCTGGAAGTGTTTAAGGAAAGACTGAATGTGTCACTTAGAGCCATCGTCTAGTTGACATAGTGGTGATTGGTCAAAGGTTGGACTTTATAATCTCAGACATCTTTTTCAACCTGACTCTGTGATTATCAGGTCATTGTGGATTACTTGAGGGAAAAAGAGATGAAGTTTGGACACCCCTGTTCAAAAGCAGCAGTGAGCAGTGAGGTGGTGATGCAAAGAAGGTCGAATCCAGCCACATTTTAACACTCTCCACTCTTAAAGCCAATAGCTTAGATCACCAAACCAATCAACTTCTTCATTATATGCCACTGGGGCCAGAAACTTGACCTCAGCCATGCTGATGAAAGAACTTAATTTTAGAAGGACTTGGATAGTTCTGCCTGAATTCTGTGATTTACACCTGTACTCTATTCTCAGACAGCTGTGGTGGCTGGTAAGATTGTATTTTGGCATCATAGTGAATAAATGACTACTCAAAGACTGCAGGAGCTTTCCTGACTGTATGCTCTGCTCACAGAATATCTTTCACATCTTTCTTCTGAGAAGCAGAAGAAAGAGAACAAATAGAGAGCTAAAGCCTTGCACACTCCCTCATAGATCCAGCTTTCATAAAACATTTCTTCTTTTAACAGCCTACATAAATTAAAATTGTCCTTTGGCAAATTACTCATTAGAGTGATTCCTTGCTTCTGTAGATGTACACAGTGCTAAAACTGGTAAGTAACTCCAGAACAACTGTTTTCTGATAATACTGTTCATAAATACATGGCAATAGAACCAACAGAATGATTCTAGTAGCCAGGGAAAGCAAGAAGTTATAAAGAGTACTGGGAATATCAGCACCCAACAGTGCTGAGAGTATCAGGAGACATAACATAAAGGATTCATGAGTTTTCATTCCAAAAAGGGCTGAATGAATTGGAGTACAAAAATTCCAGTTTCTCATGCCACAAGAGCAAACTGCTTATGATGTACCAGATTAAGGCATGAGTCAGATGGTACCATTTGAGCACAAGATGAGCTTTCCCCCAGAGCCTAAAAGCATAAACCAATCTAGCTCAAATGAAACCTTCTAACTGAACACTGCAACGCACAACCATTGGGTACCATATCTTTTCACACAGGAATTCAATTTTGCCCCACCTCCTCAGATTTTGTCTTCAGAGGGAGCAAAGTTTATGTACCACTATGCTGACCTAACCTAATACTGATAATATCTGTTGCTTCCCGATGGCTCAACTCCAGGTACAAGTAACCAAGAATTCCATCATATCAGCAAAAAAAGACCAGTTGCAGCAGGGAACAGGAATGACTGTAATGAAATATTGTAATTGAGTAAAATTAGCTACTGCAAAGCAAAGACTAGGTTATATAAGATGCCAGATCTAGTGCACCTCTGACCATTAACACAGAGGAGAGGTATGTGCAAAGGGAAGGGGAGAGGGATTAATTCCTCCTTCTCTAGGAGCACAGCAGAGGAAGGGGTGTTTCCAAAGGGTGATACATTCCTTGCAAATGTCAGGGAGATAGGACATCTTGGACTTGTAGAGAAGTGCCTCTCAACTGACAAGCATAGGGGCAGAGTATATTCCAAGTTCAGATGAGGCATTCACCTCATGCAGGCAATGATGCATGAGGAAAATCTCATCTTCAGAAGTGAAAAGCAGTGCCAAGTCTCTGAACTCATATTTTCGTAATCCAAGTCTTTCAGGAGGAAAGGGACAAGACATAAAAATAAGCAATCTATGGGGCAATATATGGCCTTAAAATAATTTTCCTCAAACCAGATTAAGAGCTTAGAGTTACATGAATTTCATGTGTGAGTGAGCTACTGAATAGCTGCTCACACCAGACCATTAAACATACTACTCCTCCATCAATCTTCAGTCATCCTTGCTTAGAGCAGTGATTTAGAGTGGAATGTAGGAAATCACTACAGGAAATCACTGTAGCAAATGGATGAATCCCATTTCAATCAGTCAACCTGCTTGAGTGATTTTCTGTAGCTGGGCTCTTTAATTTATTTGAATGCAGTGATAAGAATATTTTTTTTATCACAGTTATCTGTACGTACTTTCACGGAGTGCCTTTGCTCATTGTTGCCAAGGCAATATGTCTGCATGTGAGAGAAAAATGATGTGTTAATATTGTGCAAAAGAGAATAGAACAAATGAATAAATATGTGTAAAACAGAGGCCTACAAATACAAACAGGCATGGGACATTAGATTGTTCACAAGACATGATCAATCAGCCACTCAGGTTAGGAACAAAAAGGGTTAGGTGATGCAGTATTCACTTTCCAAAAGGTGGGTCATTTGCTCTCCATGAGACAGAGCTTGTTTGTGGCCCACAGGTTCAACTGAGTGAGATGCAAAATTTAAATGTAGCAGAAGGGTGAGGGTTTGAGGTACAGGACCCGGTCAGGAGCCTCTCCAGAGTCAGAACTTTTGAGTCACTACTGGGGGCCACCAGGAACAGCACTCAGTGGTGTATGAGAGATCAGATTGCCAAAAAACAATGATAAAAAACACAAGAAAGAGTCACTTCCCAAGGTTTAAGATGAAGCAGCTATTGCTGGAAGGGAGACTTAGATGGTAAGTGACATGATGGGGTGCAGGTCTCTTTCACCTGTTCTCTATTTTAGCCTCACACACTTGAATGCTCCCCAAAAGAAAGGCCTTGGGCTCTGTCCTATCAAAAACTCTGCTCTTTTCTTTCTGTACATAGCCCTGCATTATCCTCACACCACTAGGTGAAGAGATGCCTTCAAGAGGTCAATTTACTCTGGCAGGGGGTGGGGAGTCATGAATCTTTATTCTTCTGTCTTCAAGCTCAAAAAGAAACTAAGAAGCTGTTGTGTGGACCAGCTCAGCCATGCACTCTACTGGAGAGTAAATACGACCCAGGCCTTTAATCTGCACTGAAAGGAGATGGCATGCAGGGACCACAACAGGCAACGTGCTCAAAGAACAACGCAGCGTGCACTTGCAGACTTGACCACACATTGTGTGCTTCTGACCTTCCTCAACAGCCATACCCAATCCTGCAGAACACGGGCTCTGAAACTCTGAAACTCTGCCCTGAAACCCGTGTCTCCTGCTTGCAGCTTTTACTGTCAGTGCTTGCAGAGCTGCTTCTACAACCGCACCAGTTTAGGGAAGTTTAGATGACTGTGGGTTTCAGCAAAGATTTCTGGACCCAAATTTGAGCCATTGTGAGTCTGAAATATTTCTGCGTCTAGCAAAAGGAACTAGGAAGCATTGCAAGACAAATGCTCCGTTCCTGTTAATAAATTTTAATTTTTCACCGAAACCAAGTCTGTAAGACTCATGAAAACTACGCTCCTCTCTAAATTTCAATAAAATTGACATTCCAAGCAGATAAATAAAGTTCTTTGACCTCTTGGAATCATGTTAATGGAACCCCCAAGTATACATAATTCTGTGTTTTCTTTAGTAGAAAGATAACACTTCCCATCCACCCCAAAAGCATGTCAAGCCCTTACCATTTACAAACATCCCAAGACAATGAATCCCTTGACATACATGTGAAGACATCAAACTGTTTGTTAGGAAACCTGATCTTGACTGCTGATTTCCAAGATGTTGTGGGAACAACTAAAGCACAGAATTATAGCACTGCAACCACAAAACAGCACAAATTAGTCCAGCTACTGGGGACATCATAAAGCTGGATAATTGTTTGGACTACAAGCACTCAAATGGACTTCGATGCCAGAGATTTTATGCATCACTAAAACAAATACTTTCAAGAAAAATTCACAGGTATAGAAGTCAAAATTATTTAGAAACTTAGAAACATATTATTATTTAGAAACATGGCAATTAAAATCTACATTAATTCCTCATAATTTTAACATAAACATAGTTACACTTTTTAAGTACACACCAGGATGCAGAACTTGGAGTAAAGTACAATTATGGAGGAAAAAAGCTAGACAAAATATTTATTATGATCCAAAGCAAAAGAAGGACAGCAGGTGATGTGATCAATTAAATTACAAATCAGTTTCCTTCATACATATGCTTTCTGCACACACTTTCCAAGAGGAAGACACTGTTTTCAAGCATGAGTATGGATACACCAGGTGTACACACTTCACTTCTCCCAGAATCAGGGGGAGGAAATTTTGCACAGTTACATTAGACAATCCAAGCAACATATGGAAAACACCAATCAGTCATAAGTGGTTGGAATTCCAAATCTGCCATTTAAGTGTATCAAATACAAAACATGTAATACTAAATCCAGTAAATTCTTGCTTTTCACAGTATTTCCAAGTCCAGAAATGTCCAGATACCAGAACAGAAACCAAAGGACAAGGAATATGGTAGTCTCACAAATTTAATACTGCGGGGAGAAGGAAATGACAAGGATTGAAGGGGATGAGGTGGCACCAGTGATGCTCTAAATCAACTTAAAGAATCCTTGAATTCACATTAAATGTAGGAGTATAGGGATGTTGCATTCAAACACTTCTGCAAGCTTGCAGGACAAATCCCATACACAAATCTCATACAAACAGCCCTCCCAAGCCCTCCTGTATTTTTCAGATGGCAGACCTCCAAACAAAATCCTTCCTTTGATTACCTATAACATGAAATATTAATTAAATACTACTTCACAAACTTCGAAACAAGGTTTTATCCTACTGAGACCATGATAAGTGCTTGTCCACAA